ATAAATGTATTAATTTGCTGCCATGTGATTGGACGATTAGATATTTCTGTTAACACACAGTTGAACAGGTGTAGCCAATTAAGTGACTGAAAGTATTTATTGCAAAGAATAAATTTTTATTATGTGAAATTTGGTATTTAGGTACTTTTATGAAACGGGTTAAACAGACACTTTCAAATAATAGAATACATCATATTTTTTTCCCTTAAAACAAATTAGAAGAGAGACTTCTGTGCCCCCCCCCCTCCCAATAAATAAATAAAACTCTAAAAAACAAATAATCTCACCACTAAAAACAAAATCTTTGGAACAAGAAATAATACCACTAAGCATATAGCGCTCTATTTAAATCCACACTGTGCTCTGAGGATCAAGGGGGATTTGGGGAGAACTTCTATCTGTGTTCTGTTTTCTAAAAATTGCATTAGCTGCCTAATTTTGTTATTCAATTTATAATTTATACCATATGCCATATTTGATTTTCTATAGATCTGCTTTCTGTTATGACGCAGAGACAGTTAAAGTTTTAGCCCCACCTCCTTCCCCAAAACAGACAAAAAGAGAAAAATGGTCACCAATATTACATCTATTAACTAAAAAAACGGCTCTTTTCTATTAAATTATTATCTACTGATTATTTATTCTGAGGTTTCTATTTACTAAAAGAAGCCAATTTATGGTTTTTGTTGTCTGTTTTTTGGGGTTGCCTGTTGCAGAATGATTTTCCTCCTTTGGGAGGTAATAAAGTAATATTTTCTTGTGTTGTATTGCATCACATCCTATAAGTTAGTACGAGAAAACCAGTTGGGAAAATGAGGAAAAGAACTGTGTCATAGGGATAGTACTACTACTACGTTCTTCTTCTCTCCTCTTATCTAAACATCCTCACTCCCTCACCGTTTTAGTGCAGCTGGCTTGTTTTTTCAATATTTATTTTAAAAAGTCATATACACCACCAAATACATTCTCCAAGGGATTAAGGAAGCTCTTAGATCACACACTGAGTCTTGATGAATGAAATATTAAAGCTGGATATTGTTTACTGATATACATCGTGTAATATGTTGAAAACAACATGATGTAACAGCAGCCACTGGAGTGTAAAATCATCAACCCTTTGAGGGCTGGATTCAAAACTCAAAGTACGGTAACGTTTTTAGATCACAGGATGATCCAACATGCATTATAATGTGGCCCCCATGTACCTGTAATGCACTCCTGACATGTCCGGGTGGGCATGCTCCCGGGAGATCTCCTCACAGACGTGGTTCAAGGCAGAGATGATCTGCTGGATAGTCTGTGGTTCTGCTGATACTAAAATACTACCCAGAGGTTCTTAGAGTTGGAGTCAGGTCTGGGGGACCTGAGAGCCAGTCAGCGACATCAGTACCTCCATCATCCAGGAACTCTCTGCACAGGATACTGTTGGCTAAAGCATGGAGTTCTGTGCGACCTTCCAAAGATATGCCACCCTGGACCATCGCTGACCCTCTGCTGAATCACTCATGTGGGACTCATGCTCCAGACTCCTTTTAATCACATGAACCTGCTCTCATCTGTGAGGAAAACAGGGTGAAGGTGGTGGACCTGCTAATTATGGTGTTGTCCGGTGACCGCCAAATGAGCTGCATTTTGCTGTACTGCGACCAGAGATTCCTCTAAATGATGTTATACTCTCCTGCCACCCTCAGGGCACTGGATGTTATTATGTAATGCACTGGCATTGCTCCTCCTGTCCACATATCGTTCCTGCTGCTGGTCCGATGCCCTTCTCCTGATGCCTGGGCCATCTCCTGCTACCTCCTCTGCACTCCTGAGGTGTGCTTGAAGTCTGCAGACCTTGTGTCTGCACATATGAATGTGCCATGCTGGAGGAGCTGGTTTACCTGTACCACTAGTAACAAGGGCAGTAGCAAAAAGGAGAACTAGAGAAAAATCCATCAGCAGGGATGAAGAGGAGAGATGATGGATTCACTGGGTTATCCTTCCTAACCGGACAGACTAATATGCCTCAGTCTCAATTGTGTTATCCTGTAATGATTAACTGTTTCTTCACTTTTTGAGCAGTCTACAGTTAATTGATCCCCTAAAAAGGCTTTAGTGACAGTAAAGGTCCATTTTTAATCAATCTTTTCTCGTCAAGTAAAACTGAATTTATTCTACATGGGGAATAATGTGTCTCTGTTCATGAGGGTTATCCTCTTTAAATATTAGAGCTGAGTTCACAGAAAACTCACAACAGACTGGTGGAGCAGCTTGCATTGTGCCTCTGGGCAAATGTGACAACGATGAATCTGTGAAAACTCAAAGTGTTCTGTCTGTTTGGGTGCTGAGATCTGCTGAACATGGGCTGCAAGCTTTACAGCACTGTTGGGGTACTTATGACCTAGTTTCCAAAATGAGCTGATACTATTAAGAAAAATTCGATTCAGAACTGAGGACTCACGCTGTGACTTTGTATTTCAAACACACTGTGCCAATGTTTTGCAGAAGTCTTTTAACCAAAATTACAACTGAGACTTAAAATACAGAATGAAGCTTTTTTTCCTTTGACACAGTAAACTTGACCAAAAATATTATATTCCTGAGCTTTCGCGTCCATCTCACAGTATTCACAGGTGTTTCTGCTATGACTTTGTTTATCATTGCAGACGGGATTGTGTAAAATATTCTCATCAGTCTAATGTTAATGATTTTCAACTTGTGCATCAGGTGTATTCAGAAAAATCACAAAGATGCTTCAGAAACTTTAGAGACTCCAAAGGGAAACCGAAGTTTTCCAGCAACCCTCTGGTCGAGCAAAGGTAAGGAGAACTTACCTTGCAGGTCTCAGGAGGGTCAGAGTAAGTCAGGCTTGAGGAAGCCTCCATCAGTCTCACTCATCATCTTCACTCCTCTGAAGCTCCAGCAGGTGGTGGTGTACACCAACTAAATGGAGCAGAACAAGAGGATCTGCTTCTGATGAAGATTTTAAATTGTAGTTATGTAAGAAAACTGTTGTTCTTGTTCACGGAGCTAGACGCTTTTGAACCAGAACAAAAGTCTGAAGGGTGTAGGAAAGGGTTATGATGTCTGGTGGTTAATGTGGTCAATTCAACACTTTGGATAAGGGACACAACGTTCCCAAGAGGTTAGCAGGATTTCTGGTGTCAGAAATAGCTGCGGGGCATTTCCTCCTCTCAGTCCACAGTCCCAGGTGGTGCAGGTTGGCATTCAGCCCCAGGTTCTCAGGAAGTTCTCATAAGAATTTTTATCATCTGCCAGGACAAAGTCTGGTCTGGGCACAAGAGGCAGAAGGGATGGACAATGATGGACAGCAGATGACAAAACATCAATTTCCTGATAACAATGTTGCGCTCTTTGGCTGTACACAGTATCCTCGTGCTCACCCACATTAACCACAACAGCTGACCTATTCATGCAGGGCCACATTTACTTAAAAGTTCAAAGTGAGCTTAATGCCGCGGCAGAAGGGTCTCTCAGAAGGGTGTTTTTTCCCCTTAAGGGAGAATGGTTATTTCTTTTATTGTTGGCCACTCTTTTGCTATCACAGGATTGGCATCTTATTAGAGCGTTGAATGATACATCATTCACCTCAAAAAAAATAATTAAAGATGAAATTATTCGCTGTTTAAATAGTGGCCAAGAGAAAATAAAGTATTTTGATAAAGAAAGGTCTGCAGCTTCTTTGAATGTGATGATTTGCTGATATAACCATTTACTGATATGATATATTATTAGATATTTGGACATGATGCAAATGTCCCAACTTTTCCATTATTTTCACTATCAAAATGACTTAAAATGTCAAAAATTAACTAGATTTCTCACCACTGATCATGTAGACCACCGCAAAAAATAACCAAATGTGCAAAGATCTTTTGTGAAAAGTGCTTTTAAGTAGAATTTACACGTCAAACAGCTGGTTTTTAGCAGCTCCCCTGCTGAGCCAAAACATGCATTCAGTTAGAAAGGCACGCCAAGGCCAGTCGTTCATCTTCTAATTCAAAAGAATGTAAAGGTAAACAGGTTACCTGTTTGGTAGTTTCTGCATAATATTGCTGACAAAGGCACTGCAAATTCAGATGGGTGAGAAATTAAAATGAAACACCGGCTGTTAACACCTACAGTGAGGTGGCTTTGTTATGCTGCAGGAAGCAGTTAGGGTGCATACATTGGTTCAGTCCTTATCGTCCCCCTTGGAGGGAAAGGTCACTTCAAATCAATACAAGGTTGCTCTGAGCGATCACCTTTATCTTGTGATGAAACATTTCTATCCTGTTGGGAGCAGTCTCCGTCTGGACAATACCTCCTTTTCAAAGGAGACGAGGGGCCACTGAATGGTGTGATGACTATGAAAATGTATGCAACTACAGCCTCAGGACATGGCTGCCAGGAGGTCAGAGAGTATTTGCAGTAACTGTGGCATTAAGATCTTTTAAAATAATCTGCCCAGAGGGTCTTTTAATATACAGCTTCTATCTGATGCTTTGCCAGCTGTGGCTGTTTTATCCAACTGTAGAATGAAAACTAAACTAATAAAAACAACTGGTAAAGAGGCGCATGATCTACATCTGCACATGAGTGTATCATAAAGAAACTTGAAAATCCAGTTGAAAACCTCACTGCACCATCAGATGTCTGGTTGCGGGATTACATAACCTCCCACTAAAACCAGTTCGTTCATGGCACTGATTTCCACCACTCGGTGGCGTCTTGGACCGGAGACGCACCTGGCGGTGTGAGCGGAGCTGAACTGCACATTTTGCCCGGCACTGCAGCGTGTTTTCAAAGGGTTTGCCAGCCTCCATGTCAGGCTCCTTCTTTCTTTTTGTCTCGCTTCAGCTTCAGATTAAGCGCGAAGATGAGGATGCCCTCACGAGGGGGAGACTCACGCATAGTAACACGCGGCTCAGCTCCGGGTAGAGGGCGTTGCGGCTCTTCTTTCAGCCCTCCCCCTCCGACCAATCAAAGGCCAGACCCCGCTCTTATAAATTCTCCTGGATCCGGGATCTCAGTACCGGAGAATGAGAGAGCCACTAGTGAGACATCATCCAACAACACATTGGCCCTGCCAGTCCTTTAGTTTTTATTTCAATTTTCTCGTTTCTCGAGGTAATTCGTCTTTATTTTTCCTACCTTTGTATTAGTTTACCTCCCGGTCAGGCAGCTCTTTGTGTGAGACTTCCCATTGTTCCAGACTTTGTGCAGTAACTTCTTTCTTAACCCGAGCTTCTGCCTTTCTTTGATTGCTTTGTATGGATGCTTCAGTTTATTTTTCCTAGGTGTGTTGATTTAGGTGTAGGTCAGAAGGTAATGTGTATGAAACAGGAAGCAAATGATGTAACATTGCCTCACCTGTTTTCGGCGATCAGCTACTGCGTGGATGGATGGATGAGGTGTGTTTAGCGGAAGCCGTTTGTTTCCTTGTGTTTTCCACGGAGTGAGGTGGCATCTGCGGCGTTAAATGTAATCTTATCAGTAAACACGGATGGTGTAAAGTCGCCCTTTCTTTTGTGGCCAAAGCAGGAAAAAATAGGAAAACGCTGGAAATGTGCCTTTTTTAAAGGTCTGGGTTTTTTCACCCCCCCCCCCCCCTTTTTTGGAAGAAAAAACAAAACTATGGGGCTGCTTTTGTGTGTGTGTGTGGGGGGGGGGGTTTGCGCCCCGAACCCGGTTATGCAACATGTGATCCAGAGCGCAGCGCAGTCTCGTACCTGCTCTCATCTCCCCCTCTTCATCCTCAGGTGTATTATAGTAGCAAATAAGATGGCTACGTCCGCCAGCGCCAGTTTGAGTAAAGCTGTCAAGCAGCAGTACATGGAGCTCCCTCAGGGGGACAAAGTCCAGGCCATGTACATCTGGATCGACGGAACCGGAGAGGGGCTCCGATGCAAAACCAGGACGCTTGATTCTGAGCCTAAAAGCATCGAAGGTAAGCAGCATCTTCCTGACGCAGTCGCAGAAAGCCAGAGATGTTCTGCGGGCTATCACACTGCTCTGCTCCTCTTGTAGATCTTCCTGAATGGAACTTTGACGGATCCAGTACCTACCAGTCCGAAGGCTCCAACAGCGACATGTATCTGATCCCCGCAGCCATGTTCCGCGATCCATTCCGCAAAGACCCCAACAAGCTGGTGCTGTGTGAAGTCCTGAAGTACAACCGTAAACCTACAGGTAAACGGAGCTCCTCTGTTTTTTTTTTTTGTTTGTTTTTTTAATAAAAAAAAAATTGGGCGATGGATGGTGATGTGCGTGTAAGAGTGCATCATAAATGTGACCACTTCAACGAGATAATGGCTATAAAATTATTTGAAAATCTGATAGCTGAATATTAAAACTGATAAGCTAACGCCAGACAGCCGGTGATTTTATTGGTCTAAAGGTGTAAAGTGGGCGGGGCATACCTTTAAAGGAGAACTCCGAGGAAGAGGGGAAAGGAGCCCAGCAAACTGTTTGTCAGCGTTGCTAAGCAACTATTTTGATAAAGTTGTGACATGACATAAACTTAGATATGCTTTGACCCAATGGTTCTTGGTATGAAGCTAGTTCTAATCAATTTAATGATTATTGCAGTCATGGTTGAAATGTGCCACCCACTCATTACGTCTCATGAGCCAAAATTTGAGGTGTGTACATACCAGAGATACAGCATTGGTGATTATGGCAAATGAATGGGAATAAATGTGGAATTAAAACATAACTGAAGAATTGTTCTGTAGATTTACACTCATTTTATTTGAGATGAGAGAAGCTCACAATTACAGATCAGAGACCCTAAAAATATGCACTGTCGGTGGCCAAAGGGTTTTAGAACACTGTGTAATTTGCCATGTTGGTCTCTGCAGAAACCAACCTTCGGCTCACCTGTAAGAAAGTGATGGATATGGTGGCGGATCAGCATCCTTGGTTTGGCATGGAACAGGAGTACACCATCCTTGGAACGGACGGGCATCCATTTGGCTGGCCATCTAATGGTTTCCCCGGACCACAGGGTGAGAAACTCTTTTTTTTTTTTTTTTTTTTTTTTTTTTTTTTTTTTTTTTTTTTATGCTTTAATGAATTAATGTGCAC